AGATGAAGAGTGATCTTGAGCGTGATTTGTGATGACAGCGTGATCAAGAAATATTTTTACGCGTATACCACACTTGTGTCATTCATTTGATGATACTTGCAACTTTTTTCAGATGCAGTGCTAACATAATTATGACAATATACATATTAGTCAAACATAAATGAGTTTATGGTTATTGTCTGAGAAAGTGAATAGGCGCATTTATATTTCAACGCAGGCTTTATGGAACCTTGTAAGTCTTTTTATGTCATAATTGTTTTCTTTTCTCGTCAACCAAGCAGATTGTAATGCTGAGAACGAAAGCTGTCATCTCATAAATGATCTATTAAAGGACGCTGGGTATCTAGGAGATTTGGACACATCGTCTAGTGAACCACACAGTTCGGGTTCTGAAGATGACATTTCCATTGCGTCAAAAAAAGGTATTTCCCTTTTTCATTTAAGAACATTTTACGAATACTTCCCAAACAGCGCATTCCATTGGTTCGAAAGTTTTTCTTTGCAACCTCCTTAACCTCCTTAAATCCTAAAGTCACTATTGCAGCACAAAATTGCTACGTGCTTTAAAAACAAAGAATTTGCACGAAGCTCATGTTGCTTAAGTTTTTTTCATTTTTCCGATGATGTCCAGTTAAAGTCCATATAAGGCGGTCATGCAAGGCAGTTGTTTTACCTTAAAGAAGGAGTAAAGAAGTTCTGCCTCTAAGCACACGATTGCTAATACTTTACAACAACATAAAAGAATACACTTTTCACTCACATTTTCATTAACGTGAAACCTTCTCCCTTTACATTGAAAACACCGGAGAGCAAACAAAAATTGGTGACGTCAAAATGTGGTAAGCATAAAAAAGTAGCACATGAGGCATTTTGACATAATCAATTATCTTTTGTTGAACAGGTACAGGGCAATACAGAATCTATTTGTTAAATTGACAATGTTCTTGAACAGTCAGTGTGCATAATTTCTAAAGATATTTAGCAAATACTCGCCGAAGGCGAATAATTGTTTTAGTATAATTACTCAGGTGCTTTCGAATTCTGCTGTAAATTTGTTTTGCTGTTGAAACCATTAGTTACAATTGTTTGGATTCTTCGTATCAAGATAAGCAGCCAGTTTCCACCTGAATTTCACAGATGTTTCTAATTTAATTGGCAAAAGCTTCATCTTTTTCCTTTGAAAGTTGTTGCGCCAAACTTTGTAGCGTCATTTTGCTCTTCAGAATTGTATTTTCTTCCATTGCGTTTATTGCTTCCTGCGTATTATGCCAAAGCCTGAAACAGCCATTTCGAGATCTAGCGCCCCTGCTCTAATTACCTCGTGCTAGGCGATTATTGCAAAATATGATGCAATTTTTGATCAATCAGAGCACGTGCATCTTGATAATCACCTGAGCAATGATACTGATCTCAATCGCCAAGGAAAATACTTCATTTTCAGGGATTGTTCCCTTGAAGCAGAAGCGAGAACATGGCACCTAAAAAATTCAAGTAGTTCTGATGATATGCAATAGCGATTTTTTTTTCCAGATGATTTAAATTCCATGACAAAAGTAACTTGGACAGGGTTAGCTTGGACATACCAAGTAAAAATCTCTATGCTCAAATTTCATTTCTGGGTTCACATTTAACTCATACAGCTTCTACACTACTGAAATAGTGTATGTCTATGGCGCCTTGAGTTAAAATAAACAAAATAAGTTAAAGCTCGACCATCAAAATAAGAAAGATGATTAGTATAAATTTGTTACGAGCGGGCATAGGGTGAAATCTGTCCACAGAAAACCATGTGTTATTATCCTCACAAGGATTTCAGATTTTCCTAATGGATTTTTAAGAATATCACAATTTGAATCTCTTCTTAGCATCGTGTGACAACAAAAACAATCAAGGTCTAAACCTTGATCACAAGGTGTGAACACCCTTATCATTGTAGTGATCACTCTTACCATGCTTGTGAGAGACATTATCATGGCAAAAAAAGTTTGTGCTGTCGTAATCACGAGCGGGATTGGATGTGATTGTGACTGTGATTACAAAATATTTTTACTGGGATACACCCTCATCACTTTTGTGATCACTTTGATCACGCTTGCCAGAGACGTTATCACTGCCTTGACTGCGAGCGTAATTCATGATGACTGTGAATGTGATTACAAAATATTCTTACTGGGACACATCTTTATCACTGGTGTGATCAATCTCATATCACACTTGCCAGAGACGTAATCATGGCAAAAGAATGATCTCTCCCATATTAACGGTCTAAGTTAGTGATGAAACCGTGATCGCGAAATATTTGTACTGGGATGCCACAGTTCCATCATACATTTAATGATACTTACAACTTCTTTCAGCTGCAGTGTTGAAATATTACAACATATGACAATGTATATATCGGTCAAACATAGCTGAATTTGTGATCATTGTATGGTGTAGTGAGGAGCGTCTTTTTATCTCAACACAGGCCATACAGAACCTTCTCTTTTTTTTACTTTTACGTGAGAATTCTCTCATAATGGTTTTCGTCTCCCTTTAACAAAGCAGAATGTAACACCGAGAATAAAAGCGGCGACTTCACAAGTGATCTGTCAAAGGATGCAGGGTACTTAGGAGATTTAGAGACATCTAAGGAGCCCCAAAGTTCGGATTCTGAAGATGACATCTCCATTACGTCAAATAAAGGTATTTCCCTTTTCATTTTAGACCATTTTACAAATACTCCCTGACCAACGCATTCCTTAGCATTGATGTTTTCTTTTATCAAGAGGCTTTTCGTGTTTAAAAAATAATCGAAGCGCTTTTCTGCATGCAGTAACGTTTGGCTGTTGATCTTTTTAAATTGTGATACAACTACTCTGAAACACTTAACAGCTCTAATGATAATTTTTTCCGAAAATAGGTAAATGTTCTTGACGAATGATGCCACAGCTCACTGATTCCACATAATTATGCTATTTGACCTTGGGTTTGAGTCCATGTTGTTTTTTACCATGTGGACTTTTTTTTAAGAAGTGGCAACATACTTTCAAGCAACTGTTCTTTCATATCCATTTTATTGATTTAGACTACAACAGATTAATTATTATAAACATATCTGGTCGGAGGTGGAGATTTGCTGAATTCAAGCACTCATCTTTGGATCTAACTGATTATCTAGAGTATGCACACGTCGCTAAGGGCTCTCGTTTTGGTTGCGTTTTATTGCGTCTTGGCACTCTCTAAATTTAATGGAACTACAACTTCTTCTTCAGTTTCGCCTTGGTATCAACATGGAGTTGGTTGCTTTGGTCTTGGCGTTTTTTTCACGAATATCTTGCCATCTTCAGTTCGCATTGGTGTGCGTGCTAGATCTGTTGGTTTTTGCTGCACCAAATTCTCCTTAGCTAGATGGTCGAAACACGGTTCTACCTGTTTAGTTATTGTTGGACATGACCCCCCGCTGGATATTGCTGTCTGGATGGATATTTCTAGGAATCCAGGTCCTACAACGATTTATTTGATATCTGCTCTGGCGGTCAAAATCTGATTCATGGCAGAAATTTGCATATTTCAAGTTCGACTCGAACAATAACCACATCGAATAATGGACCGGGAGCAAGGTTTGGAATTCCATCGCTGATTACAATGCGGCCGACTGTCACCTCTTGTTATAATAGGCCAGTATTTCGCACGCTCACGGACGTTCCTATTGATATATCACAGTGCTCTTCACTTCGAGCTAACTTAATGAAACTCTGTAGTTTGAATGCAAGATCTATCAAAAGAAAATCTGCGGACTTTCTGTGCTATGTTAAATCGTGCGCTGCGGATATTTTCGCAATTACTGAAACCTGGTTCACCGAAAAAGACTCAGCTCATAGAGCGGAGGTGACTCCGCCAGGCTACATGTTATATGATCATGCGAGATCTGGTCGCTCCGGGGGTGGTACAGCTTTATTGTGCCGTGACAGTATTAGCGTGACGAGAATCGCGGCTGGCGAGAAAAAGTCATTCGAGTTCTCTGAGTGGATCATTCTTGGTCGGGGCTCTCGGAAAGTCCGCTTCGTTGTTGTGTATCGCCTTCAGTATTCTTCTTCTCATCCTGTGTCTGTTGATGTCTTCTTTGAGGAGTTTTCAGCCTATCTGGAGTCAATCATCCTTTCCTCAGAGCCGTTGTTGATAACTGGCGATTTTAATATTCATGTAGATGTTGTCGGGGATCCTGTTCGCGCGAAATTTCTTGATCTACTCGAGGCGATGGATATGCTGCAGCATGTTACTCTGATCACTGGTCTGTTACTTGCTTGCTTAATCTCGACAAGCCAACAATCACCAGGAAGACGAAAACGATTAGGAAGATTAAGAACATCGACACTGCTGCACTGTCTAATGAGCTTGCTGCATCAGATTTGTGTACTAACACTCCAGACGATCTCAACGATTTGGTGCACTGTTACAACACCACTCTTGCGTCTGCATTAGACCGTCATGCTCCACTTGTTACTAGATCTATTCCAGTGCGTCCTCTGGTCCCTTGGTTTAACAACGATATTAAGGAAGTGAGAAAGGAGAGGCGTAAGGCAGAGAGAAGATGGCGCCGCACTGGCCTCCTTTCTGATTTACGGAGGTATAAGGTCTTGAGAAATAAAACTAACAACCTTATGACGGAGGCGCGCAGGGTGTTTTACAGAGAACTCATCGATGAGAACTGTGGCGATCAGAAGAGATTATTCTCGGTAACAAAGCGGTTGCTTGGTAGCGGAAATTCACTGCCTTAATCTTGTAGCTTTGATCTTAATTGACTGCGTCCGAGGACAACTAGGATTCTCTCTAATTTCATTGACCTTGTGACACTTGATTCAAAACGGAAATTACGTAATCGACGATTGTAGAATCATAGCTAATCATTACATGGCTCCCCTAAATTGTAATCGCAATTTACTCAAACTAACAGAACGAATATAGAAGATCCTTATATAATGTTTCTTTGAATGTCACTTGACTGTCACTTGTCAAATTTACTTGTATGGCTCCTCGATGGGGATTCCCTGGTCTTTGCTCAGGTCGGCAGGGAGAAGCAGAATTAGTTTCTGTATGGGTCTGTCGAGGTACGCGACTGGTCTTACCCGCCTTCCTTTGTTATCTACAGAGTCACCAGCTACTGCCATTCGAACCTTTCTGGTTAGGCCGTCATTGTCTGGATAAGTGCGATCGACACGGGCCAGCTTCCAACGGTTCCTTGAGAGGTTTTCATCCTTTAAGATGACGACGCCATCCACTTGGACATTTCTGTGACGTGTTGTCCACTTCTGGCGGCTCTGTAAGGATTGCAGATAGCTCTTACGCCATCTTTGCCAAAATTCATTGGCTAGATGTTGCACTCGACGCCAGCGTTTTCTCGAGTAGAGATCGGCCCGCTGGAACACTCCAGGAGGTGGTAACACCACGTGAGATTTCTGTGTTGACAGGTGATTTGGAGTTAATGGACAAGGCGTCTCCTTACATGTGGTTCCATCCGTGGTAAGCGGCCGACTTTTGACTATAGATTCAGCTTTCACCATAAGAGTTTGAAGCGACTCGTCGTCCAGCTGTCTTCCATGGTCATTCAGGAGAGCACTTAAAACTCTTCTTACAGTGTGGATCTGCCTTTCCCAGGTGCCGCCCATATGGCTCGCGGAAGGTACGTTCATCTTGAACGCAATCCAATTGCAAGAATTCTTTGCCATCTCTTTGTTTACCATATCTTGATTCATCTCTGCTAATGCTGCCTTTAACTCGTTACTAGTGCCAACGAAGTTTGTTCCTTGATCTGACCTCAGTTGTCTCACAGGACCTCGATGTCCAATAGAACAGCGATAGGGATTTAGGAAGGAGTCCGTCGTAAGTGATACTATCGCTTCAAGATGGATTGCGTGCGACGACAGGCAAGTGAAGAGGACTCTGTATCGCTTGAGTTCTCGACGTCCTTCCTTAATGTAGAACGGGTCAAAATAGTCCACGGCACTGTAGGTGAAGAGTGGACTTCCCTCTAGGCGATCTGTAGGTAGATCGGCCATATTTTGGTTCAAGGAGGTTCCTCGTTGTCTTCGGCACTTGACACAATTGGAAATGTAATGCCCTACTGCTGAGCTGCCATTGATGATCCATACACCTGATGAACGGATTCTGGCATGTGTGATGCCACGTCCTTGATGATGATTCTTGGCATGGTAATGCCGTATTACCAGCTCTGTGATGCATCCTTTCTTTGGAAGTATCAGTGGATGCTTCTCGTGAAAGGGTAAATCGGTATGTCTGATGCGGCCGCCGACGCGGAGGATACCATTTTCATCCATAAAGGGATCTAGACGTCAGATAGGGCTGGTTTTCTTCATAGGTCCTTCTTTCTTCATAGGTTTTTCTTTCTTGGTTGGATTTGACAGTTTGAAGGAGAATAGTCTCTTGTGGGAAGGCTTCTTTCTGGATTGCCTTGACTACTTCAATCTCTGTTAGGCGAAGCTCTTCGACACTAACAAGGTCGAGGTGTGCAGCGCCTTTCTGTTCTTGCGGAGTCTTGATCACAGTGTTCTTTTGTTTGTCCCCTTTCCTTTTAAATCTTCTTTGCAGGCGGAGGCAGAGTGCAACAGCCCTTTTGGCTTGATGCCAATCGGAGTAATGCTGTAAACGTTCCAGAAGATTTGCAAACGGTTTCACCTTTACTGCAAAGGAGGATGTCTTCTTGATCTCTGGATCGTTCTTGAGGACTATTGCTGCTTCGTCGAAATCAGTTTGATGGTCAAAGGGTTACCATAAGAAGTCGGGTCCACTCGACCATCTGTGACTGTTCGCCAGCTCTTGGGCACTTAAACTTCAAGAGGCCTCGTCTGCAGGATTTTCTTTTGTGTCCACTTTTCTCCACTGATGTGGTTTCGAGTACTCCCCAATGCACTGAACTCGATTGGCGACGAAGGTATGAAATCGTCTTTAATCGTTGGACACGTATCCTCGGACAACCTCACTAACAGTCCAGAAGACTTCAGGGATGGCACCAAAATTTAACTCTTTCTTGAGAAAGGAAATGATTTTCACAGATAACAGGGCAGCCGTAAGCTCTAGTCTTGGAACAGTGATGGGTTTTGAAGGCGTTACTCTAGACTTAGCCATTACTAAAACGCAGTGTATCTTGCTGCGACTGTTTATCATTCTTAGGTAGGAGCATTGACCATATCCAGAGGTACTTGCATCTGAGAAATTGTGCAATTCAATTGATTCAGCTTCTCCAAGATCGATTGGCTTATAGTAGCCTGGTACCTTGAGTCTTGCAAGGGCTCCAAGCTCTTCTCTCCATTTCGCTCATTTCATTCGTACAGGATCTGGCACTGGATCGTCCCAATGTGCACCATCTTTACAAAATTCCTTGTAGAATTCTCTTGCCCTGAAGCAGGAATGGTGATCTTAAACCGAGGGGGTCATATACCGAGCTGACGGTGGACAGGATTCCGCGCCTGGTTAGAGGTCGGTCCTTAAGCTCCGCTCCGAAGTGTAATTCATCCGACTCTACGAACCCCTGTACTCCCAAGGCTGTTCGATGGGCAGCAGGTCCCTTGTCATATCCAGTTCCTTGATTTTCTTTCGCTAGTTGTTCAACTGGAATAGCCTCTATCACCTCTCTCCGATTTGAGATAAACTTGTGCAATTTGAAGCCCCCTTTTATGCAAAGGGTCTTAGTGCTTTCTATTAAGTCGATGGCTTCTTTTACTGATGAAACAGACTTCAGGCCGTCATCTACGTAGAAGTCATGACGTACAAATTCTGCAGCTTCATTACCACATTGTTCTTTAAAATCATCCGCTGTCGTCTTTAGAGAAAAGTTGGAGCATCCAGGGGAGGACGCCACCCCAAACAGATGTACTGTCATACGGTATTCGACCAATGGCCCTTCAACGTCGCCTTCGTCCCACCACAGGAACCTCAGAAGGTTTCTGTACTCGTCATTTACGTTCACTTGATGGAACAATCCCTTGATATCACAGATGAAGGCCATGGGCTCCTTTCAGAATCGGCATAGCACTCCCGTCAAGCTATTTGTGAGATCCGGTCCTTGCAACAAATGTTTGTTTAGAGACTCTCCTTTGAATTCAGCGCTTTCGTAAAAAACCACGCTAATCTTGCCCGGTCTCTTTGGACGATAAACTCCGTGATGGGGAATGTACCATATGCGGCCATTATCAAGGGACAATTCTTCGGACGGAACGCGTTCTGCGTAGCCGTTCTCAGTGACTTCACCCATAAATCCTTGATAATTCTTCCGATATGTGGCGGTGTGCTTAAGTCTTCCTTTTAGTTTCTTGATTCTACTAAGGGCCAGCTCTTTGTTGTCACGCAGCAGCGTCCTTTCGTCTTTCAGTGGAAGTGGTAATTCATAGTGTCCGTCGTTTCTACGATGAATCCCTTCTTTAGCTTTCTGCATAAACTTCCTGTCGTCTTTTGAAAAAATAAAAAGTTGATCTCTTTGATTTACTTCTGCTAATTAATTTACAAATCTATAATTCTACAAATGGTAGTAGTGACTTAATATTTTGGGCCTGTTTTGGCAAATGATTTGATCAGGGCTTTATCGTTTGACCATTCGTGTAACCCTTTACACTCTACCATCAGTATGCATATTCTCTATACTGTTCCCATACATTTCCTAAGATGCTGACAAGGAGCATTTTCTTAACAATCAAGAGCATTCTCAGTTTGTGATCATTTCATTTGTTCTTGTGCGTTAATGTTTTAATTTGATTCTGTGGTGATCTTTTAAGGAGAAATTTGTGATGCTTGTCACTCTTATGGGTTGAATAGTTTAAAATATATATATTTTATCAAATAGTGGGTCCTGTTTCTAAAGTTGTGGTATTTGAAGCTTCAAGGAAGCAGATAACTGTTGCCAGATGTAACAAGTCAGGTGATGTTGCACTTTGCAGTTACATTAATGACATCATGGTACCGTCAGTATTTATTTATGGACTCATATTTCATTACATTTACTCAACATGAATGCAACTGGTACAGCACTCCAGGGCAACATCAAGAGAGAAGATAATGTTGATATAACAAATATTGCAACTCCATGTCAGGTAAATTAAAATTGCAACACCTGTAATTAACATGTTCATGAAATTCCAATTACAATGACAATAGGACAAACTCTCCCCCCCCCCACCTAAATGCATCGCATGTGAGATCAGAATGTTTTTTATAATGATTAAGTCTTAGAGGGAGGCAGTCAGTGGATATTGTTTTAGAGAAAAGTTATTACTAGAAAATAGATCTTTTTCCCATCTAGTTTAAAAAAAGAAAACACTGTGTATCAATTATTTGTTGTGAACTATTTCAAACCCAATGATCCAAATATCAATTCTCTTTACTTTGTGGCTCACATTTTGTATATTTTAAGCTCTGAGAATTTGTTGTTCAATCCAAAAGTAAACGTCTAGTTGACATTTTGTTTCTTCTCATCACCATCTGGTTGAGAATGTCTTGCTAGTCATAGTGAAAGGCTTGAAAGTTTACTACTAATAAATAATCCTTATCTTAACAGATATTTGGCATTTCTGCTGAAGATTCAGACTCAGCACTGGAGGAAATCTGTACCAACTCAGATAATGGCGAGGACCAACCTGGAGGTATATATTTCTAATGGGTCTATAATTTAAATGCTTTTGAAAAAATAAAAAGCTGATCTCTTTGATTTACTTCTACAAATTTTCCTTCCAATCTATCGCAGTGGTTGAAGATATTTCCCCCTCATCAGGCTCTGTGAAGGTAATTTATTATTTTAGAAATTGTCATGGTGATCTGCAGATTTAATCATGCAGGCACGAGGAAAGCCTCATGGGAGCGGGGATGGCAAAGAATAACTGGAACAATCAGATGAACAAAACAAAACAAAGTCTGTGGTCATCTGACAACCAAATGTTTGTCAATTGCTTGCTAAGGCATGGCTGAGCATGAAGGGCTGGGGCTAATTTGGTTAATCCTTAGGAATATGAAACATTTAATAAGCTTTGATTGATATGTTTTGATCTGGAAAAATGTATTCTATTTCGAAGTTAAAGTTGTTATGGTGAGCTGTAGATTCTTTTTTTTCTATCAATGTGCTTGCATGACTATGGGTTTTTTTAAGGAGAAGTTAATGAGGTAATACTGAGATCCTCTAATGGTATGCAGAAATGGCCCAATGTTTTGATATTGTTACAGCGTAAGTTTGAATACTTTTTGCCTCAAATTCAAGGTCTGTTTTTCTTCAGACACTGTTAGTTGGGGTTGACAAGAAACTGTTAGTGTCTGCTGAAGCAAGCGACTCAGGTTTTGAGGAGCCTATAGATGTCTATGATGGTAATAGTGACTTAATATTTTGGGTGTGTTTTGGAAAATGATTTGATCAGGGCTTTATCATTTGATCCTTCATTTAAACCTTACACTCTACCATAAGTATGCATACTCTCCATACTTTTTTCCTTACACATTTGCAAAGGTGCTGATCAGGAGCATTTTCTTAACAATCAAGAGCATTTATAATTTTTGATCATTTCCTTTGTTCTTGTAACGTTAATATTTTAATTTGATTCTGTGGTGATCTTTTAAGGAGAAATTAGATGCTTGATACTTTTATGGGTTGAATAGTTTCAAATATATATTTGTCAAATTGTGGGTCCTGTTTCTAAAGTTGTGGTATTTAAAGCTTCAAGGAAGCTAAGAGCAGAAACAGATACTGTTGCCAGATGTAACATGTCAGGTGATACTGCACTTTGCAGTTGCATTGATGACATGGTGGTACTGTCAGTATTTATTTATGGACTGATATTTCGCTACATTTCCTCAACATAAATGCAACTGGTACAGCACCCAAGGGCAACATCAAGAGAGACGATAATGCAGATATAACAAATATTGCAACTCCATGTCAGGTAAATTAAAATTGCGACACCTTTAATTAACATGTTCATGAAATTCCAATTACAATGACAATGGAACAAACTCTCCCCCCCCCACCTATATGCTTCGCATGTGAGATCAGAATGTTTTTTATAGTGATTAAGTCTTAGAGAGAGGCACTCAGTGGATATTGTTTTAAAGAAAAGTTTTTACAATTCTCTTCACTTTATGGCTCACATTTTGTATATTTTAAGCTCTGAGAATTTGTTGTTCAATCCAAAAGTAAACCTCTAGTTGACATTTTGTTTCTTCTTATCACCATCTGGTTGAGAATGTCTGGCTAGTCATAGTGAAAGGCTTGAAAGTTTACTACTAATAAATAGTCCTTGTCTTAACAGATATTTGGCATTTCTGCTGAAGATTCAGACTCAGCACTAAAGGAAATCTGTACCAACTCAGATAATGGCGAGGACCAACCTGGAGGTATATATTTCTAATGGGTCTATAATTTAAATGCTTTTGAAAAAATAAAAAGCTGATCTCTTTGATTTACTAGGTAGTAGTAATAATGAAGATTCAGACTCAGCACTGGAGGAAATCTGTACCAACTCAGATAATGGCGAGGACCAACCTGGAGGTATATATTTCTAATGGGTCTATAATTTAAATGCTTTTGAAAAAATAAAAAGCTGATCTCTTTGATTTACTTCTACAAATTTTCCTTCCAATCTATCGCAGTGGTTGAAGATATTTCCCCCTCATCAGGCTCTGTGAAGGTAATTTATTATTTTAGAAATTGTCATGGTGATCTGCAGATTTAATCATGCAGGCATGAGGAAGGCCTCTTGGGAGGGGGAATGGCAAAGAATAACTGGAACAATCAGATGAACAAAACAAAGTCTGTGGTCATCTGACAACCAAATGTTTGTCAATTGCTTGCTAAGGCATGGCTGAGCATGAAGGGCTGGGGCTAATTTGGTTAATCCTTAGGAATATGAAACATTTAATAAGCTTTGATTGATATGTTTTGATCTGGAAAAATGTATTCTATTTCAAAGTTAAAGTTATGGTGAGCTGTAGATTCTCTTTTTCTATTGATGTGCCTACTCTGGTAGTGAGGTTTGATGTATATGTTAAAACGATTGTTGATTTTTGTTTTCAACTTGAGTAAGAATAGAGGAGATGTTTTTAAGTTCAGGAGTTGAAGGTTGAAAAAAGGATGAAATTAGCTTATATAACAAGTCTCTTCTTGTTTGAACACGTCCCCATTCATTACTATTATTATTATTATTAGTAGTAGTAGTATTATAGTCATTATTATTATTACGTAGTTGTTAATTGATTCCCATTTCTTTTTATATAAATTTAAACTAATTGAAAAACAAAGAAAAGCCAAGAACATGTAGATTGGGATAGGATCAGTCCCCTAACCATCAAGTCAACTACTTCAGGTAAGTGTTCCTGAAACTGTTACATGATTTGCTCATGTTCCTTGTCATTTGAAACGGTATTTTCTTAAGATAAATTAACCTTATTTAATGATTGAAACTGAATTAATTGAAATTGTGGTTTTGCAAAATATTATAGCTAGTCAAAGTAATTGCACAAAATATCGATGTTTACCTCATATGCCCTACGGATATTCCTTAGTTTTTAAACATTATGTCCAATTCCTGTCCAAGTCTTTGTTTAAAGCTCTTGTAAGAGAACAATTAGGGACATATTTGTCTGTTCAAAGAGCCATGCCAGTGAAAACAGAAAAGTGAACATAGCACGCATTAAATGATAAACTGTTTGCAAGCGTTTTGTCCTTTTTGGTGCAAAAACATGTGAAACATGTAAGACAATTTTTTGGGTTCTACTGGCTTTGACCAGGTCTGACTGGTTTTCACCAGTTCTAACATAGCGCTGGGAACACTGTCATCGAGAGCTTGACACAAAGAGTGCTCGTCAGCTGGGGCAGCTTGACACAACCTCAGCACAGCAATGAACAGCTTACCATCTCACAAGGGAGTATCATCTTGACTTTTCCATCAACCATTGTCTGTCATGATCCTCAAGACTTCAGGCCTCACTTCTTCCATGAGCTCTTGGGGGCTATACCCCTCAACACCCTCGATC